GCTTGGACCAATTAAGCTTCTTCCTACTTGATCTCCACAACTTGGGCTGCAAAAAAGGGCTTGTGCTATATCTTGGACCCTTAACACATCTTAAACAAGTTTGTGAGCTTCTTTAAATGCTTGAGCCGAATGTTGTCCTCCTTGTAAGGCTTGAGCTTCTTGAATATTCAATGAACACTCTTGCATGTTTAAAAAAACACAATGGGCTTGGATTCTCATAAGAAATGGTCTACTGAAGGCAATCAACTAGCAAGAAGTGGTAATGATAAGCTTGTATATGGGAGCCTTTCAAATGAGTTAAAGTGAATTCTTGTACGGATTTATTTCACATTGTGATGCAGTCAAGGCCCTTGCATGGTCCCTTGTTTATCTAATGCACTTGCCTCCGAGGAGGCATAGGCCAGTGAAAAGAGTTTCACTCTTTCTTATGAGTTTCCTATAGAAACTACAACAAAAGAGACATTAATTTCCTCTTATGATAACATTTTTGTTGCGCATCAGCATCTATACTTGTGCGATGTATGGTGTTCGCCTTATTTATGGAAATTTGATATTTTATGTTTTACATGTGTAGATATATGGACTGGAGTGGAACATGCATCACAAGGAGATGCTAAGTGGACGTGGCTTGAGTTGCAGAGGAACGAAAACAAGCTATGCTTGTGGAAGTACCCTTCCATGACTAACGTTGGAGACTTGCAATGCTACAAAACTTAAAGAGTCCTTGAGCAATTTCCCAGGTTTGACTATTTGATAAACTTTAGTTTAGAACCCATTATATATATTGTATTCTTAAATAAATATAGCAGAGTTACTCAAATCAATGTTTTGTAGAGCCTTGATGCTCTAACTGTGGTATCAGCTGGGGCGCATGAGACTCCTTCCTTCTGGAAGATTTTTGAAATTGAACCATCTGTCAATGAAGATTCAAATGTTTCATATCTTGACAGTAGTCTATCTCTAAGGACAGCTAGAAGATTCAACTTATTTAATAACCAAAGAAAGCATATTCAAATTCATTCATAAGAAGTATGAGTACTTTGGATTTGGATTTGGATTTGGATTTATGTCAATTACTTAGGAAGCTTTGGTTTGTGGTATTTATTCAATGAAGCTAAGATCGGTGCTGGTTGAACCTAACATAAGGGATGAAATTAATTTCAAAATCATTGATTGGGGTGAAAAATAATATTCTTGCTATTGCTTTGGCTCCAGATCTTCATCTTTGGAAATCAAAGAATGCAGAGGTATAGATGTCGACGACATATCTTTGGGACCATGATTACCTTATATTTTCTATTGGATATCTAGACTCCAAACTTCAACTCTGGAATGCTCAACCTTCAAAACTCGTAAGCAAGTGCCTTTCATGATCAGATAAATTATTCCTAAATTCTTAATGTATTTATTTTAACATAACTTTTTTTTCCTGAATGTAGGTTAGGAACTTAGATGGCTGGATGGTCAACACACAAAAGTAACAACTGTGTCAAGGAACCATCGGAGTGGTCGCATTTTAACAGCAGGAGGCCTTGATGAATCCATTATCAATCATGGACGAATACATATCTAATTGCTAATCATTCATATATACCGCCTTCTACATTTTTACCATTCTCTTTCACAGTTAGTGCTGAGCAATGTTACCTCTTGCATAAAAGCACACACTGAAGACCGAAGTATGCAGACTGAAATGGTCTACTTAAGGCAATCTACTGGCAACTAGTGGTAATGATAAGCTTGAATATATATGCAAGACCTCCAAAAAGAGTTCAATCGAACACTTTTATTGATTTATTGCACATTGTGATCCAGCTAAGAAGATGGATGTGTCAAGATATGAAATTTACAAAGGGGGAGCTGCATCAACAGTGATACTAGAGCACAAGCAAGTGGAATAGAGATCAGAAAGAGATGCTGAGTGGACATTGCTTAAGTAACAGGGGAAATGAAAACGAGCTCTGCTTGTTGAAGTACTCCGTGACTAAAGCTGGAGAATTAAAAGCTGCAAAGCTCTAGAGTCCTTGAGATGTCCCAGGTTTAACTATTCAACTCTACAATGAAGCTTCAAATGCTTCATATCTTGACAGTCTTCTTTCTCGAATTAAGAACAACCAAAAGATGATGAGCAACGGAAGAATCATTTGTTACGAGCTCATTTTCTTTTTCATTTTTTATTCATTGTACAGAAATCAACTACACTATAGTTCTTTTTCTTCTTTTTGTTGGCTAGGACCATTAGTGTAAGTGAAAACATTGAAAGCTACTACACGGCAGTATAAATCAACAAAACAATGCATTCAATGTGTAAAAGAATTGTTAGACATAGCTTTCAACTTTTGAATCATCATACATACAAGGGACCTTCTGGGCATACCTGCATTTTCTAGGACTGTAGTATATCATTGACGGGACTAAAGGGATTCATAAGAAGTCAGCCAGTTAACGTTACAACTTAGATGGCAAAAATGTAATTCAATTAAGTGGGCTAAGGCATATGGAAACATTTAAGCCTTTCCCTTTTTATCTTTCCTTTCTCCTCCCCTCTGCATTACCACCTCCATCAAATTACACCACAGAACTCATTATCATCTTCTTTATTTCACCTTTAACACCACCAAATTTACCACCATGACTTTCACTCTTAAATCAATAAAATCCACTTTAAACATCAAACTCCTTTAACCAGCGCATTACACAACTATTACAATCTTCCCCGTTTATTTGTTATCCTAATCGATTGTGAGGGCGAGGAGGCTGTGGGGCTTTAGGGGTGGGTGGGGTTGGGAGGTAAGCGGCGAGTTAATGGATTTTCATTGTTTGATGTCGGCGGGGCCCCACAACGCGAGTGCGGTAGGGTGTGGACAGTTGAGGTGGATTAAGTAAGAATTCCCTTTGATCTTGGGATGGCTCCATACTCAACCCGATTCGAATTGGGTTGGATAATTGGTAACCCAATAACCGACATTTATAATAAATAAAGGGGAATGATTTTTGCCCCTATCGTTATAATCTTGAGCTCTCGTCTTTTATTTTATGTGAGGATATAATTGTATCTTAGATTTTTGTTTTCCAAGAAAGGTTTATTTCTTTATCATTTATTTTCTTTTCCTTTTGAGATAGTTCTTCTCTATAAAAGTCACATTCAATTATAAAAGATAAAATTCAACTACGATAAATCCAATTATACAATTCAATTAGAATTTATTTTCTAATACAATTCCATCTTTATTGTTTGAAAATAGAATTAAGATTTATGTTTGCAAGGGAAGTAGGATGTTTAGAAATAATAACACAAGGGTTTACTTCTTGTGGGGTGTGTATACAATTTTGTTTTTTGTTCTTATAAAGGATACTTTTTTAATTGAGAAGAAAAATCTGTCCATCAACTTATATAAGAATATGGCAATTTATATTCTACATTGATCTTGTAGTGTCTAGTTTAAAATATAATTACGATTTGATTTGGTTGTTGACTGTGAACAGAAGGCATGTGAGATTTAAGCCTTGGGCGGCCAGAATTATTACTTGCTAGAAAAAAAAAAAAAAAAAAAAATAGATAGTGGCAATATATATTAACAATAAGATTGGGTTTTATATTTTATGTGGACTGATTACCTGAACAAAAATAATGTGATTACCCTTGAATAATAAAAGGATCATTAATTTTTGAACTCTCATATAATAACAAAAAATTAATTTATATTATATATATTTAGGTTAATATTTATTTGAAATTTTTCTTGCTTTTATCATCACATTAAATAAAAATTTATAATTCTTACAAGATTATTACAATTTGTATGTCAATCTTCATCAAAAAAATATTTCTTTTTATTTCATATATCCCAATTAAAGAAATTTATTTTTTCTTATTTTTCTTTATTGAAAAGGAATTCATAATTCTATTATAAGAAGACAACTAATATTTGTGTATATATAGATTTCTATCCCTTTCACTCAAATATTACCTAAATGATTTTATGCTCTACATATAACTATTTCTTTAATCTCTTCTAGAAAATAATATCAATTTCCTCATTAAAAAGAAATAGTCTTATTAATTATATTTATTTATCAATTACATTATTGAGATATGATTTTTTCCCCTCTTTATTTACCTTTATTTCAAAAATATTTTTAGCCCTTCCCAAAGTAAAATTCAGTTTCGCCACATATATACTTTGTTGTATAGTTTCAGTACATATAACATTCGGTAAAAACTGAAAAATTTGTGAATAATGGTCAAGGATAATTTAGAAAATTTAAAGAAATAATTTTATAAAACTTGAATATCTACTGTAAGTAGGTAGGCTGGGTCAATGCCCAAGAATAGTGCTTTTTGGAAATTGGGGATTCCAATTTTAAAGAGTAAAATTATGCAAAAAATAATTTCAAAGGCAGATTGAGTCAAAGAAAGAAAAGAAGATGGGACCAAAAAGAGGTTAGTGGGAAACAATTTTATGAAAAGTTCACGCCATTACGGGCTTTTACAATTTTGAGACGTTTGTTTGATTTTTCTTCAGACATTGGTTTCTTCTTCTCCACTACAGCTCTAGTAGTGAACAGTGAAAGGGGGAGAAATCATAATAGAAGAAGAAGAAGAAAGCAAACTTGAAATTATCATCCAACATGGTATACTTTTCTCAGCAAACGCTGATTTGAAAAAGTTAAAAAGGCAAGTTTATTAAATCTTAATTTGTTTCCATCACATAATGTTATGTTAATTACTTAATTAACTCTGTGAATATTATTGGTCTAGGCTAATGAAAAGAGAAAAATGTTATATTAATTACTTAATTAACTCTGGAAGGGTAAAAATGTCATTTTGCAATCTAATGAACTTATATTAACAAAGTTTAACAGGGTGGGGGTTAAGGGCAATTTCCTATGCCATATGTACGGGGGCTTGCACCATTAGGGAGATCAACACTATTCAACAGGGGGTTTAATTAATTATCCCAAGAAAGAGAGGGAGATGGCCCCTCCATGTCGACATCCCCTGCAGTCAACACCAATTACTTTACCATTCTAAAGTCTCTGTAAAGCCAGTGAATATTTTCCAAATCTCCAAACACTCTGATTGCTTCAACCCAAGTACGATGGCTTCTGCTTCGTCTTCTTCTACTCAAGAAAAGTACGATGTCTTTCTTAGTTTTAGAGGTGAGGACACTCGCAACGCTTTTACCAGCCACCTCAATGCTGCTTTGTGTCGAAGAAAGATTAAAACTTTCATCGATGATGAAATTAAAAGAGGAGATGAGATTTCACCCTCTCTTTTGTATGCAATTGAAGGATCAAAGATTTCAATTGTCATTTTCTCTAAAGACTATGCTTCTTCTCAATGGTGCCTCGATGAACTCGTGAAGATCATGGATTGCAAGAAGATGCATGGTCAGATTGTGATTCCAATTTTCTATCATGTAAATCCATCAGATGTAAGGAAGCAAACTGGGACTTATGGAGATGCATTTGCTAAGCATGGAGTACGATACCGGCAGAAGGAAGAGATGTTGCAAAGATGGAGGAGTGCTTTGACGGACGCAGCCAATCTATCTGGCTTTGATTCAAATATCGTTAGGTGAATGCTTTCGCTTGATCTTATATTCTCAATGAAATTCTACTCTTTTACATGCATAGACTTCAAACTATATATTGGAAGATATGCAATGAAATGCCACTTGATCTAGTGATGGCTCCAATCTCCATATACTGAGCTTAAGATTTAATTATTTAAACAAAATTAGATAGACAATAAAAAATCAAATGTAATTATTTACAATAAATTTGATAAATAACTAGAATTATAGATTTAATTATTTGTAATAAATTCAATTGTAATTTGTAATCATGCCCATAAATTTTTCAGTTTCAAGGATGGACGAGAGGGGGCTATTGGAATTAGGCTTTGTCTTTATTTCTTTTTTCATTAATTTATTCATGCTTATTGTTCTTTTTACCTTTTGTTTCAACTGTAGGCCTGAATCAAAACTTATAGAGAGGATTATTGAACATACTTTGAAGAGATTGAATGATATGTCATCTATTGATAATAAGAACTTGATTGGAATAGCAATGAAGGTTCAAGAAATTAAATCTTTATTGTCTAATGGACCAAAAGAAGTATTCAAGGTAGGGATTTGGGGTATGGGTGGTATAGGCAAGACAACTCTTGCTGACGCAGTTTTCAATGACATCTCAAGTCAATTTGAAGCTTCTTATTTCACTAAAAATGTTAGGGAAGCATCGGAAAAAGGTGAACTAAGTCACTTGCGACAAGAACTTCTTTCTACAATATTAGAGGATGAACACGTCAATATAAGGCTCACATTCACAAAAGAAAGGCTTGGACGCAAAAAGGTTCTTATTGTTTTTGATGATGTGACAGACTTGAAACAAATAAGGGAATTAATTGGAGATCTTGATTATTTGGGTTCTGGAAGTCGAATCATTATAACAACAAGGGACAAACAAGTGCTTAAAACTTGTCGACTCGATGATGTGACCATATATGAGGTCAAAAGATTAGATGGTTATGAATCTTTTCAACTTTTTATACAGCATGCCTTCAAACAAAACCATTTTATCGATGAAGGTTATATGGAGCTATCAAATAGAGTAATAAATTATACTAAAGGTGTGCCTTTAGCTCTTGAAGTCTTAGGTTGCTTTCTACTTGGTAGAGAAAAATTTGAATGGGAAAGTGCATTGGATGAATTAGAAAACTCTCCCAATAAGACTATTCAAACTGTGCTTAAGATAAGTTACGATGGATTAGATTGTAAAGAGAAGGATTTATTTCTAGATATTGTGTGCTTCTTTAATGGATGGGATAATGATCTGGTTAGTATCTTCAGTTCACGTATTGGAATCAGTGTTCTCATTGATAAGGCTCTCATTTCTATTTCATACAAAACCATAAGAGTTCATGATTTGCTTCAAGATATGGGTAGGGAAATTGTTCGACAAGAGTCTGTTCATAAACTTGGCCATAGAAGTCGATTGTGGCATTATAATGTCGTCTATCATGTACTGAAAAAGAATCTTGTAAGTACAAAAGACAGTAGCTTTCAATTTCTATTGTATATTATTTGTGAAATCTTGAAATTCTAGAAGATTATCAGTTTCATTTTTTTTCCTTGTATTAGTTTATGTGGTAACAGGCTTGGGGCTTGGGAGGTTATTTTATATAATTGTGCTGATTTATCATTTGGTTTTGATTGTAGGGAACTGATACAGTACGTGGCATATGTTTTGATATGTACCATATAAGAGACATACACCTGAATCCGTCTGCTTTCTCGAAGATGCATAATCTAAGATTCTTGATTGTGTATAACTCATATTGGATACACGATAATAAGGTGCATGGTTTTGATGGCATTGAATTTGATTTCACAGAGCTAAGATGCCTCCATTGGGATAATTACCCTTGCACATTGTTGCCATTGAATTTTGATCCAGATAATCTTGTTGTACTTAAGATGCACAACAGCAATCTTGAACAACTATGGACTGGTACTAAGGTATATGTTATTTCACACGAGAGTTCTCTTTTATAAATTTTAAATACTGTAATTTTTTTTTTTTTTTTAATTTGTGTTGTTAATTTCTTTCTATTACAGGATCTTGCTAATTTAAAATACATTGACATAAGTTACTCAAATCATCTACTTAAAGTCCCAGACCTATCAGAAGCTCAAAATCTAGAGAGCTTGATTCTAGAAGGTTGTACAAGTTTGTTTGAGATTACTCCTTTATCTCGGAATCTCAATAAACTTGTTAATTTGAATCTAAGAAATTGCAGAAGCCTTATCAGTCTCCCAATTGGCATTCAATCTAAGTCTTTAAGAGATGTTGTTCTCTCTGGCTGCTCTAGTCTCAACGCTGCTCCAAGGATCTCATGTAATATGGAACGATTGTGTTTAGATGGAGCTGCAATAAAAACATTATCTTCTTCGATCGAAAGTCCCTCGAGACTAGTTCAATTGAATCTTCAGGGTTGTTCAGGGCTTGAAAGTCTTCCAAGCAGCTTTTGTAATTTGAATTCCCTTAGACAACTTAATCTCTCTGGTTTGTCAAACCTAAAGTTTGTTCTAGGGATCCCACGCAATATAGAAGAGTTATATTTAGATGGAACTGCGATAAAAGAGTTGTCTTCATCGATTGAGAATGCATCCAATCTAGTAAGATTGAGTCTAAAAAATTGTTCAAGCCTTGAGAGTCTTCCAAACGGCCTTTTTAAATTGAATTCTCTGAAATATCTTTGTATCTCTGGTTGTTTGAAGCTTAATGGATTGCTCAAAGACATAGGAAATTTAGAAAGTTTGGAAGTGCTAGATGCTCATGGAATTCTTTTAGGAGAACAACTATCATCTCTGGGACATTTGAAGAATCTTCATCATTTATCTTTTGAGGGATGTAAGCTGAAGCCTCCATTGCCTATTTTACCAGGTCTTCCATTTCTAAGGAGATTAAATATAAATCACTGCGATCTTACAGAGTTACCCAATAATCTTGGCGAGTTGTCCTTCCTCACAGATTTAAAATTGGACGGAAACAATTTTGAGAGTCTACCAACAAGCATCATTAACCTTTCTGCTTTAAAGCTACTTAGCATAAGTTTTTGTAATAGGCTTCAATCCTTACCAAAGCTTCCATGTAATCTGCAAGAAGTTGAGGCAGATGGTTGCAAATTGCTGAAAGTGTTATCTGGTTTGGAAACTCCGAGTGATAGTATAATATCTATCACTGATAGATATTACAACATGACGCTTAACTTCAGCAATTGCTTCAGTCTAGATTGGGATGCAGTTAGAACGATTTTGATTGATTCTCTCTTGGAATTTTCAAAGGTATGTTTCAGTCTATCTCATTCCCATATGATTCAATTTCTTCTTCTTTTATATAAATAAAATGCATTATATTAATTTAACAATTTTACAACAATTTTTAATGGTGTAGCGGAGTATTGTCAGAGCTTATTTAGTATTCCCTGGGAGTGAAATTCCAGAGTGGTTTGACATTCAAAGTAATGGATCTCACATAGAGTTACCACGTGGTTGGGTTAATGGTACATTTTTCGGTTTTGCCTTTTGTGCCATTGTCGGAATTCCCAAAAACCATTGCTGTTCATCGACTGTTGGGTATTTGTTGCGTTGGAAATTCCCAATGTATAGCCAGCCTCTTGATAGTGCCCTATTTACCACTGGACGTATTAATTCAGATCACGTATTCGTGTGGTGTAGTTTCGGTACAGCAGCTGAGGCTTCCTTTTATGGAGATACGGAGGCCATCATCAATTTCTACAGTCCAAACGATCTAATAATAAAGAAGTGTGGGGTCCGTCTGTTTTATGCACACTCCCGAAAAGATTAAAACTCTCGTTACAGGTAATTAAAGAACATATATACCTTAATCTTTACGTCACATAATGAAGTAGTTCTATCTCTAGACTATTTTCATGCTTTATGACTAATTTTTGAATGATTTTCTTCTGGTTTCATATTTCATTTTATACATGTTCATATTATTTACATCTAATTTAAGATTGTCTTCTTCACCAACTTTGAAAATTATCAACTTAAACTAAGTTAGAAATTAGAGTCTTTGGTAAATTAGATTTTTAAATTGTTATGATATGAAAAATAACAAAAAAGGACCTATTTTTATCTATTCAGTATAATTATTAAATTATATTTTAAAACTTTTTAATAAATTTTTTAAAACAAATAAAATATTTTAATAAATTAATAATTTTTTTTAAAGAAAATTTAAAAGGAGACTGCAGGTACCAAAAGGGATATTATTTTATTTAATATAATAACGTTTTCAATTATTGATTTATTTAATCAATTAATATAAATTTATCTAGCGATTTATATCGTTATCTAAGGGTATTTTTGACATTATACATATATAAAAGGGATACTTCCAATTAAGGTATAAACTTTTCAAATTTTTATAATGAGATGACAAAAGTTATAAATTGTTCAATTAAGGGACAATCATTAGTTAATTAGAGTTAGATTTAACATTTAATAAATGTAAACATGTAATTGAACAATTTAGATTATTATTTTTTACAAAATAAATAATAAGAAATCCAAAAATTATCAAATTAAAAAAATAAAAATAAAAATAAATAAAAATAAAAATAAAAGCCTACTTTCTTTCATTTTTTTTAAATTTTCTTTTAGTCTATAAATTAAAAAAAAAAATTCAACTTCCATTAAAAAAAAAAAAAATGTAGCTGATGTCCTAAACCAATATCTGGAGCTTTTCAATGACCTCTCGATGGCTGAAGTCATGTGGAGTTAAAAGCTGCAAAGCTCTAGAGTTCTTGAGCTTTCTCAGGTTTGACTATCTGACAAACATTAGTTTAGAACCCAGTATCTTGTATTCTTAAATAAATGTAGCTGATTTCCTAAACCAATGTTTCATGGAACCGTATGGACTAACTTTGGTACCAGCTGGGGCAGAGTGAAGAGACCCTCTGCTTCTGGGAGATTTTCGAACCGCCTGCCAATGAAGATTCTCAAAGGTTTCATATCTTGACAGCCATCTATCTCAAAGGCCAACTAAAGATGGTGAGCAATGGAAAAAAACATTTTGTCTCAAGCTTTTTTTCTTCTCCATTTTTTGTTTATTGCATAAAAATCAACTCCTGTGCAGTTCTTTTTTCTTTTTGTTGTCTAGGCTAGTATATATGTTTTGTTATGACCATTAGGATACGTGAAAATAGAAAAAAACCATCATAGGGAAGCAGTAAACGATAAGATAATTTATTATAATGCATTCATTGCGCAAAAGATTTGCTTAACTTAGCTTTCAACTTTTGATTCATAATATATATAACTCCCATCAGCATTACCTTGTGAACCTTTTGGATGTACTTCCATTTTCTCGGATTGTAGTTATATATGATTGGGACTCTAGGTATTCATAAGAAGTCAGCAATTTAATATTCCAACTTAAATAATATTATATATGCTTGCCAACATTAGGTGCGGTGGATGTTTAATAGGAATTTCGGGCTATGAAAATCCGCTATTAGACAGAGAATCCAAGTCTACTATGCATTGTTATTGGTTGAGTATAAAATTACCTTGGGCTAATGTGAGGATATGTTTATGGTTACCGTTTGCAGTTTTTATTATAGCTCCTTTAATGGAGTTCTTGCTATCAGTATATCCTCAAATTGTTTCAAACTTATTGCCATCAAACTTCCATGACAAGATGAAACAAGAGGAATAGTTGGAATTACCTTTGCTGCTTAAGCCGTATTCATCCTAAGTCTTCCTAGCAATTGTAGCTCTTAAATGTTAATGATGTGTTTATGTTTGTCAGAGTCTTGTTTATTGACTGGTGTAGCTTGAATGTTGAGCACATTCAATAGGATTAGAACTAGATTTACATTCATAGAAATGTAGCGCATTCAATAGGAGTAGAACTAGATTTACATTCATAGAAATGTTTGTATCATTTAAGTTTTTACTGAACTGCTAGCTATACAGGAGAATGTTGTTTCAATTATAATCTTAATTTGTAGGAGGCACTAAAAGAAGGCTAAATGCAAGAAAAAAAATAGCTAAGTTTCTTCAAGATACTAATAAAGAAATGGCAAAAGAAGTCATAAACTCAAGAAATGGAGACGACGGAAGATCTGGATGAGTTTATGAACAAGGTAATGGTCCTTTTTTTGTTCCTTTGCCTAAAATGGGAAGTGGGTTTACTCTATTATTTAACTATTTTCTGCTAGCTGACAATAATTTAATTGAGGTTTATTCTGCATTAGAATAGGTTAGGCCTGATGCCGATCTATTGAACGATGAAATTTAAGACTATGCCACTTTGGGAAGATGTTCATTGATGATTATCTTTCGGAGATCATTAGCAGGTTGATTTTGTAAAAGCATTCCTCAATTATTTGGTGTTATGCTGGCCATTTAATTTATTCCTTTGAGGAGTCACTTTCAGATGCAGAGCTTCAACTAGCCTGTAGAGATGGAGGGTTACTTGGTAAGGGAATTCTTGTTTGTTAAAAATAACAGTTGGGAGATGCTGAAGTTATTATAGGAACATATAAAAACATTCTTCAGAATTGCATAAGTTAGAATGTATTATTTTCCAGGCTTAGTTAGAGAGACCATGAACCTGATGAAGCTGTAAAGGCAGAGTTCTGTACATGGTTCCTACAATACCAAACCCTTGCAGAAAGTTCATATTTTGATTAGGGATGGTAATGTGGGTAAATGAGTCGACCCCACGGTTTTCAATCCATTTGGGGTGTCCCATACCCACCCCAATTAGAACTGGGGTAAGATTGATTGTCCCAGTGTTAACCCATTCTATTTGGGCTGGGTATGGACTACGGGTAACCCAAACCCAACCCATTACCCAAACTTAATTTAAAAAATATTAATAAAATAAAAATTAGATAAAAATATAAATAAGGCAAAATATCAAAAATTGACTCGATTGATTTAATTTAATATTCCATAAGATATTTTTATAATCGTTTTTTTACAAAAAATTTGGTGCAGATAAAGGATTTGATTAACATGGATAACGTTTAATATTTAATTTATCATATTGAAATTTCAAGTTTTACATTATTAAAATGTTTTATGTTACAAATTTAAATTTTAATGCCTGATATTACTATCAAATGATTGAAATCCTGCACAAAGAAATTTTGATTCTCACATTATAATAAATTTCTAATTTTTCAATCAAATAATGGTTGCAATTGTAATTTAAGGATAATATTAATTTTTATAAAAACAATATTATCAAATTATGTTAACCAAGATCATTCATGTATTGTAGGTTAATGTGTGAATTATAATTGATTGTATCAAGAAAGTTATCAAAAAAAGTTAATGTGTTAATTAACAATTTTGTATAGCTCCTCATATCTGTCCATAAACTTATATTAGATATTGACAATTTGTAATATACATTGATTTTGTAGTGTCTAATTTGGAATATAATTATTATAATTATGCATTTTTTATTTGGTTGTGAATTGAGAATAGAAGGTATTGCCAGATTTTTTTGCTTCTCAAAAAGACAACAAAAAGTAGTTGATGGGGTTAGGTGTTTTTTCGTTTATATGGGTTATTAATTGTTAAAAGATAAAAGGGAAATTGACAAATAAATTATCGAATGCAAACAAATTATAATAGAATATTGTAGCTATTTGTGGGCATTCTATATTGTTTTCGTTTAATACATTATCTATAAAAAAAATGAAATCAGAAATGGGAGATATGTTGAAGTGTTCTTGAGTTGTTGAGAAGGGTACAAAAATGGTTGGATAATTGATTTTTATGGCAACTAAAATATGCTTTTTTGGCCGAATCAAGGGGTTTATTTGGGTTCGGCAAAAAAAATGTAGGTTTTTTTGGGAGAAGATAAAGTCAATTTTTAGTCGAATACCTTGGATTCGACTAAGACAGGTTTCGACCACCTTAGTACCAAAAAGTAGAAAAATTAACCAAAATCTCATTGAGTTATTAAGGGTAATGCCTAGACCAGGAAAATCCCTAGACCCCTCAGTTGTCAGAAACTATCAGTCAGACCCACTTGCCGTCTATTTTAATTGTTAACTCTAACTTGGTGAGGGTTAAAACAGACATTGACATTTTAAACTTTCAAATAATAATTAAATTGTATAGAGTACTAACTATTTCTGTTATAAATTTAAAAAGAAAACTAAAAGTGCGTTTGATTTATTATTTTGGATAGGATTTTGGGGATAGTATTGGGTTGTTGGATAGGGGAGTATTACGAGGTAAACTTTAAAAATTTATGAAAAAGACCTTAGGTTTACTAATTTAATTAAAGACCCTAATATATAAAATAACAAAAACACCTCCACCACCGTCGAAATCTAGCCGAAAAATTTTGTTACGACACAGACTGGTCGGATCTGTGCCGTAACGCGTCATCATGGCCTTTTCTGAAAATGCCAGATCTACGAACTGCTGTGGCTGCGACGGCCGAAAAAGGCTGAAACGACGGTCATCTTTGGTCGTCAGCGACGGCGGTAGATCTGGCCATTACCGGCTATTTCTGGTGGCTGTGTGACTATTGTGATAGATTCCGGCAGAATCTGGTAGGTATTGGTGGGTGGGGGTGTTTTTGTTAGTTTTTAAACTTTTTTCTGGGGGGTATTTAATGAAATAAATAAACTTATAGGGTCTCAACGTAATTAAAAAAGACTAATATTTTGGGAATAACGTGTCAAACAACATTTGAAAAATAGGATTGAGAATATAGATAAAAACAATAAGCCAAACGCACCCTAAAATATCTTAGAATAATAAAAAATTATCTAAAGATTGAAAAATAATTTAAAAAAAAAAACTTTATAACACGTAAATAGAAAATCTGTAAATATTAAACATATGAAAAACTAAATGAATAAATAGAAAATTCGAAAAAATGAAAACATCCAAAAATAATAAACTTAAAAAATTTATAATTTTTTTTTAAAACTAAACCTGAATAAACTTATGTAAAAAGTAAAATTTTTAATTTAAAAAAAAAAAAACTAAATCTTAAAAAAAATTCATGTATAATTTAAACTTTTCTCAAAATTTATTAACAAAATTAAAAAATAAAATATATTGTTTTTACAAGGGAATAGTAAACGTATATAAGAGTTATTTTAATTTTCTAAAAGTATGAAATGAATAATTTTTTTACTCTAGTGCTAAAGTCAACTAGACTCTAGTGCTAGAGTTGACTGGACTCTTGCAAATGGGAGCACTAAGGCGGTTTTCCCTAACTGCTAGGGTGGAGAGGGTAAAAGTGGAAAGAAATTGGATGAAAGATCGTATCTACTAAGCCCATTAAAAAGAGGTCAATTTTAATTTGACTCTCAAAAAAGGGTTTTTTTAAAGAAATTAATTCATTATCTATTGAATCTTTAACTGCACTGAATAAGGACAAATTAATGTAGTACATTTATTTTATAATCCCAACAGGATGATTGTATATTAATTTTTTCTTAGAATTTAATGAAGATCAATTGAAAGGTACCATTATTGTTCCATTAATCTTTTTGTTTCTAAATTAGTAATCTCAAATTTTAAGTTTCCATGTAAATTTTGCAAAACGATAACCATCAAAATATACGCATCTAGAGATGAGAGAGTGGATTTTGATCATATCAATTCTTTTTATATGTTAAAGTTTTTAAATTTCGAGTGTAGGGAGAATGTCTAGAATCAACATAAGGTTATGCGTTGATGTACATATAATTGTTAATTGTTTCTTAGTTGCTTTCTTTAAAATATGATTGACTGTAATGTAATAATCCTAAATCCTAAATCCAATAAAATAGTTTTACCTTTTCCTAAAATATTAATTGTTTGATCATCATTTTGATATGCTTTTGATGTCTTAGGACGCAATCGGATGTGAAAAGGTCTGGGGTGCGTCTGGTGTTACCACATGTGGAAGAAGGGGAAGAGATCAATCCAAGTACAAATGAATCCAGTAGCTTTAATTTTTTGGATTCGGATGAATTCCCTCAAGTTCCTGTTGCAAGTGATGAAGATGAATGACAACCAGCGGAATTCAAATTCTTACGAAAGTGAAACACCCATATCTTGTAATTTCATTTTGTGAATATATTGGTAAGTCCAAATTTCAATTTCTAGCTTATATATCTCTCATTTTCTATGTCATATCCTTTGATATTCAATAAATATTCAGTAAGTTAAGAAGCTGAATGATATTTTCTAATGAGAATAATAATACGTTTCAATAGTAGGATATATCTACAGTTAGAACTATTTAAAATACTATTTATTTATAATTTGCTATTAGATATAGTTTGCAAAAATTATCACATGAGCTCTTATATTATTCTTATCAAATTAAGTTGAAAGTAGAATCGTAGTATCGATGATACAAGAAGGGAAGACGCCAAGGCACTGCAACAAACTGGCACTAAGCCATATTGGCATTGATGCATGCTAGTACTAATCTCTGTTCTACACAAAGAAAGCATATATAAATTAAGAGAGCATGTGTACTTAATCACATGTATTTATGTTGGTTTCTTGGATGCTTTAATTAATGTTATTTGCAGAATGAAGCTATCTTCTGCATGCATTTAATATAAGGGATGAATTTAATATGAAAATTATTGCTTGGTGAAAAAAAACATTCTTGTTGTACAGGTTTAAAGGCAATCTACTGGCAAGCGGTGGTGATGATGAGCTTGAATACGAATGGGAGCCTTTTAAATTGAGTTCAACCAAATTCTTGTACTGATTTGTTGCACATTGTGATGCTGTCAAGGCCCTTGCATGGATCCCTGATAAATCTAATTTTCTTGCCCTGGAGGAAGCACAGAAGATGGATGTATTAAGATATGGAATTCACAATGGGGAACCTGCATCAGAAATGATACTGGAGCACAGGCAATTGAAATAATTCACTCTTATGATTTTTCTTTATAAACTACAACTTATTTGTGTCCTTCTAAGAGACATTTCCATCTATGATAACATTTTTATTGCCCATCTATAATGATGAAGTGTTTGGCTATGACCTTATTTATGGCAATTTGATGTTACATATGCAGACATGTGGACTGGAGCGGAACTAGTATCAAAAGAGACACTAAGTGGAGCTTTTGTAAACACCCTTCAATGGCTAAAGTTGGGGAATTAAAAGCTGCAAAGCTCTAGAGTTCTTGAGCTTTCTCAGGTTTGGCTATCTGACAAACATTAGTTTAGAACCTAGTATCTTGTATTCTTAAATAAATGTAGCTGATTTCTTAAATCAATGTTTCACAGAACCGCATGGACTAACTTTGGTATCAGCTGGGGCAGAGTGATGAGACCCTCTGCTTCTGGGGGATTTTCAAACCACCTGCCAATGAAGATTCAAATGTTTCATATCTTGACAGCCATCTATCTCGAAGGCCAACTAAAGATGGTGAGCAATGGAAAAACATTTTGTTTCAAGCTTTTTTTCTTCTCCATTTTTTGTTTATTAGAGAGAAATCAACTCCTGTGCAGTTCTTTTTTCGTTTTTGTTGTCTAGACCAGTATATATATTTTGTTATGACCATTAGGATACGTGAAAAATAGAAAAAGCCATCATAGGGATGCAGCAATCAATAAGATAATTTAT